CCGCCCTGCGCAGTCACTCCTCATCTTGTCCTGCATAGCTGCTGCTGCTGCTCCCTGGCTTGCCTCAACCACACGGTCTCTTAGGGCTGCATACTACACGGCGCTGATCTGCCTGGGTGAGTGACTGCAAGCAGCAAGGCCTGAATCCCGGCTTAGCTGCCTCCTACGTGGCCCAGCGTGCTTACCAGCCGCCGCCAGCTCATTGCCTGCCCACTGGCAAGCAATGGATGCTGCAGGGACAGATTTCCTACATACCATTCTGAGCCCCCCTCTCTCTCCCCCCCTCCTTGGGCGGACAAAATAAAAGTGCATCTTTTATTTTGCAAAGAATTAGAACCACGGGGAGGAAAGCCACACTGATCTCTTGTCTCCCTCTAGGACCGGCCTTGGAAAAGCTGACAATCACCATCGGACTCCCTTTCTCCCAACGCTCGTGCGAGAACCCAAAATTTTTAAGAATTAGAGCCACGGGGAGGAAAGGCACCCTGAAGGCCACCGGCGGGCTTGTTAAGGCATGCAATATGCCGCCGCTAAGCTTCAGGGTTCCTCCCACAAGCGGCTGGAGTCCCAATTGTGAGGGTAGGCTTTTCCAAGGCCGGTCTGAAAGGCCGTGGCAGCACCCCGCGGCTGCCTTTTCTTTTGCCGTGCAATCTTTTGAGGTAGTTCCCTAAAGGTAATGGTGCTGTGGTAATGGCAGGTGGGTGGCTCTGAGGTGGAGGTAGCGAATGGTGAAGCCTAAGTGTGCAGGAGTGCAGCACAACTTGCCTTTGCGCTGCCCATTCATGGGGGGGGGCGGTGCTTCGTCATGGGGTACATTTGTGCCAGCTGGTGGCGCCCAAGGTGTGGTCTGGGGGGTCATTGGGAACAGCAGAGAAGCGGGATGCCTGTTTGGCTACCCGCCAGCCAGGCTGGCTCGAAAGTGCGTTCCCTATTGCAAGCAGCAGGATCCGCGGCAGAGGGAAGGGCGAATGGGCGGCAGCCACCCGGAGGGCTGGCAGAAGCTGAGAACTGGGCTGCCCATGACTTTGATGGCGACCTGCGCCCAGAGCATCCCCTCGCTCGGCCTAGGATGAAGTAGAAAGGCCTCGATCTTTCCACAGGGGAAGGGAAAGTTTTATCGGCACAGGAGCATCACTCCAGCATGCCCTTTCACCGCCCGTCTCTGCCTGTTCGTGGCAGGGCAACTTCTCCCGCGCTGGGCGTCAGCCAAGGGGAAGCAGTAAAATCGGTTTTTATTGCTTGGATAAGGCTGCTTCACACGTCTTCGCCCAATAGACGAGAGGGAGAGGGACAAGCGGCTGAAGCTCCTCTAGCATTTTCTCCGCCCTGCCCACAACCGGCTGCTTTTTGCGATTCCGCGCCCTTCGCAGGCAGCTCAGCACCGGCCACGGTCCCCCTTCGTGTCGGCTCAGGAAGGGAGGAGCGCCACCGCCACCGAATGCGGGGAGGAGGGAAGAGCTCTGGCTCTCCCGTGTGGCCGGTTACGTGAGCGCACAATGGCGGCAGCAAGAGGAGGAGTTGCCATCCCCACCGCCGCGGTGATCCCGGCCCAGGAGGGTATCTACTTGTGTGTGTGTGTGTGTGTTTGTGTGTGCGCGCGTGCGAGCAAAAGAGATGATAGAGAGGAAAGGAGAGAGAAAGAAAGGAATGAGAAAATGATGAACGGAGAGAAGGAGAGAGAGGAAAGAGAAATTGGGGGGGAGAAAGAGATGAGAGATATGAGAAAGGGAGAAAGAAAGATGAGAGAGAGAGAGATACCTGTTTAAAAGAAAATAGAAAACTGGCTCTTTGAGTGTTTAAGGTTGCAGACCCAGACTCCTGGGTTAGGCAAACACCCTGGTCATTAAGTGAACCTTGTGGTCATTAAGCAAACACTGTGGTTGTTAAACAAGTCTATTTTCCCCAGTGGGCATTTTTATCCGGAAACCAGAAGGAATTGTTGGAAACTGGCAAAAAATGTAGAAAACCTCCGTCACATGACTGTGGGATGTTGTAACTGGTCATAAATTTTGCGTGTATGTGTGTGTATGGCTGTCAAAACTCCAAAAACAGGTCAAGTAGCTCTGGGGAGGTCAGTCGTAAATTAGAACACTTGCTAAGCAACCGGGAATTAAGCGAGGACCACTTGTATTTGGTTTGGGTCCAGAGCTGTATGGAATCTGGAAGAAAGAAAGGAAAGGAAAGGAAAGGGAGGGGAAAGTGAATGACATATAGTTGCATGGATGGATGGATGGATACATACATACATGAAGAGAGGGAGGGAGAGAAGAAAAGGAGAGGAAGAACCACAAACCCTGGCACTAGATGTGGCTTCAGCAGATGCTTTGAAGCAGCACAGCAATCTAGGGCTGGAGGGGACCTCTGAGGCCATCTAGTCCAACCCCCTGCTCCAGCAGGAAACCTTATATCGTCTGGATTATTTTGGTGCCTCTAACAGAGAGGAAAATTGCCAGAAAGGAGAAGTTTACTAGGACAAGGCTGCCATGCAGAGGAAGGCAGAGATAGTCCTTGATTTATGACCGCAATTGACCCCAAAATTTTGGTTGCTAAGCAAGAGCGTTAAGTGATTTTTTACATTTTAGAGACATCTGGCTGTAACAGTCATGTGCAAGCTAGGGAAGAACATCTGAAGGCATGTGTAATGTTCTAATATGCAGAAGGTATATTTAAATGTGTGGCAGAAAGTGGACTCTGGGTGTGTTTTTCCAAACACAGTAAGTGAGGTTGAATATGTATAGTTTTAGAAGAGGTGTGTGTGTGTGTATACAGTATATATAAAGTATAGTATATATAGTAGATAATATATCTTTTTGTGTGCCTATACACACTATAGTATAGTATAGAGTCTATACTATGTAATATGTACGTACACATATGGCATATATACATAGGGTTAGATAGTGAATTTTGGATATTCAGTAGTAGTAAATAGACAGGGAAATTGTATCTCGTTGAGGTCTTCAAGGCAAGGAGAGGCCAAGCAAGGCATCCCTTGACATGAGTGACATCAAGTTGGCCATGCCCAACCACACCCACCCAGTCACATGACCACCAAACCATGCCCGCAAAACTGGTAGTAAAAAAATTCGAATCCCACCGCTGGCTACAGCAATACAATACAGAAAGCAATCAACCCCCATATATAGCAAATGGGAAAATACAAAGCCTTGGCATTGGGCATACTCCCACACCATTGCATTCCGCACCAGACTAAAAGGGGCCCAGGTGTCTTCCTCCTACACAGCCCTTTCTCTGGGTGGCAAAGTCAGAGCTGCAAGCAGAGAGTAAGTGGCAGTCCTAAGCTGCCAACCTTTCACTGCCCTCTTCAGCTGCAATTAGAAAAGATCTGAATCTGCAGCAATGCCTTGAACTCCTCTGCCAGGAAAAACTCTCATGATTTTATTATGCATAGAAAACTGCTGGTGAAGGTATAAAGCCTGCCAGGATGCCAGCTGTCCAGAAGGGAGGAAATTATACTTCAGCCCTCTCTTGAGCCTGCAAAAGAATATGGGTGGTTCTCGGGTTGCAATAGCAATTAGTGCTAATGCTGTCAACCCTGAAGCCATTTTGGAGCGTATTCAGGACTGCCGCAGCAAGACGGGTTGGAGCTGTGGGAATGGGATGGGGGAGTAGAGATAACTGGGGATCTGTAGCCAAAATAAAATTCTTTCTCCTGAGAACCAAGGACGTTCTCACCAGGTGCTGGGGAGGCATGGATTGAAACCAGCTGGAATTGGAACTGTTAACCTGGTTGGTGGACTGGGGAGAAGAACTTTGATTTTTAATTTGGGTGGGGAAAACCTCGGGACCTTCAGAGTCGGGTTTTCACCAGGTGTGCCAATATGACCTGTTTAATAAATCTGGATTTTGAGGAGCAGCTTGGCCTCGGAGTTTTGATTGCATTGGGTCTGTTACTTGGGACCCTGACAAGAGCTGCTTTATCAGGAGGCGACTGGACTTTCTGGTTTTTCTTTGAAGACGTTTCGCTTCTCATCCAAGAAGCTTCTTCAGCTCTGTCTGGATGGTGGGGGATGGAAGGATTCCTAATCCTTGCAGACAGCTGGTCATTTGCATTCTTTGAAAGAGTCCTTGAGGCCGCCTGGCAGTTGATCTGTGTCCTCGGGGTCATGTGAGTAGTGCAAATGGGTGTGGAGCCTTCGTGGCCACAGGGTGTTTTCTGTCCTGTGTCTCTTCACTGTTCAAGACAAGTGCAGGCTGTTGGGAGGTGAGTCTGTTGTCCGCATTTCAAATTGAAGCAAAATGCTTTAATTTTTCTGGAAAACCATTGATATGGTTTTCCAGAATCTCTATAGGCAATTCAGGCTAGAATTGTTAAGAAGGGATGGAGCACCAATAGGATATATACCATGCTGGTTAGCTGAACATGGAAGGAAAAGAAACTAAAATCCCAGCAGAGACAAGGGGCCAAGCTTCAGTTTTACAGGTTCTCTAAATTGCAGGGACAGGTTTTGAGGAGATATCCTGCACACGTGCACAAACCCCAAGAAGAAAAGCTATCATGAACCAAGGGAGGTGCAGTTTTGTCTTTTCCTATTTGAACGTCATTTCTAGATCCACACCCAAAAGGGAGGGTTCCTTTCATTTAGTTGCTGCTTTTTGCAAACGAAACTTCGGGCTCGGCTCCAGCGACAGGCAATGCCCTCTTGGGGAACCTGAAAGAAAAGGTTTCGGGACGGATGGATCCTCAGGGAGAAAAGCTATCAATGAGCTCGATGGGAGTCAAAATAAGACTTATTTAGGGTTAACAAGGAAGCACGGAACCAATAAGAACATCTTCAAACGCCATAGGTAAGAACGAGCGTGTTCCTTTCAACCATACGTCGCTAGAGGGCGCGCTACAGAGAAGCAACAGTCACGCCTACAAAGCAGCGACAGCTATTCTAGGAAAGGGGCAGAGGCTGAGATTGAACGGGTTGAAACGATAGATTGGTGGATTGCTAGAGAGGTTGTAAAGGAGAGGAGGTGGAGGGCAGAGGAAGTTCCTCTTCCGGCTCATCACCCAAGGGAGGCTGATGGCGTCGGCGGAGCCTCTTGTGCGGCTTGGAGGGTCGAAGCGGCTCCTGGGAGGTGAGTGGAGGGCAGGTCGGAGGAGAAGCCCGGGAGCAAGTCCGGCCCTTTGGGTTCCTGCACGGCGGGGAAGCAGGAGAGGAAGCAACGAGGGTGAAAGGTGTTGGCTGCTGTTGTGTATTATTTCCCTCCCTGAATTTTATTCCTCTGCACAATTTAATACTTCTGCCTGTGATGTTCTCCTTGGAGATGGCAGATTTGGGAAATTTAAAGAAATCTTTACACATTTTTCATATTTCTTAGCCACCCATCTCCATCACAGTTCACGAAACGATTCCTTGAGATTTCATTGACATGTTCTTTCGATATGGGCAAAACAGATGCTTTAAACCTTTTAAAGAAAAACCTTTCTAAAATTAGGTCAAATGCATTTCTGGAACATTTTACACCCTGAAATACACATAATGCCTACACATAAATTGATAGGCTTGTAGTGCTCCTAGGTGCGCATGTAGCAGTGATTTACCCAAGCCGAAAAGAGAATCTTATGATTGAGTCGATATTTGAGCTTGCATCTTGCTAGTTGTCTATTTTCCAAATGAATCATAATTCATTTTAGAGGTGAAACCAGAATTTTGATATTTTTTTTTCATGAATACACATGCTGTTTTTCATATGTTCTGCAACCATTTTTAAACAATAATAATAAAAACTAACCCATTAAGATGAATGCATGATTTAAACTGCTGCCTGTACTTTTCTGCTGGCAGATTTGGGACATTTAAAGAAATCTTTACATATTTTTCATATTTCTTAACCACCCATCTCCTTCAGCCTTCATGTAACACTTGATTTCTGTTATTGAGATGTTTTTTTCCTGGCAAGCGAGGAGTTTCATGGGCAAAATAGATGCTTATGATTGAGTCAATATTTGAACTTGGATCTTGTTACTTTTCTATATTCCAAATGAATCATAAGTAATATTAGAGATTAAAATAAGAGTTCTGATGTTTGTTTTTTTGTGCTAATATATGTGGTGTTTTTTTGCTGCTTTCATATGTCCTGCAGCCATTTTTCCAATAATAATTAAACTAATCCATTTATATTAATCTTAGAGAGAGAAGATGCCAAGAAGAAGAGTCCTCTGGACAACAAAGAATGAGAAGCAGCATTAACGTGCAAAATAAATCATCATTCAAAATATTTTCCAATTCAAGTTTAAAAACTCTTCTTCCTTAGCAGATGAGAGACAAGGGAAAGAATAACAAGAACAAAGTTTTGAGTGGGAAAAAATAGAGCACATAGAACTGGAAATAACAAGATTAAACGAGAATTCAAAGAGGATAATCTTTAAATAAAGAAGTGAGGAACAACTTGAAGTCAGTAGGAAGAAAATGGTTCCTTGTATAGCCAAAATTGCCAGGCATTAATTGAAGTCTTTGAGGTAGGAAAAAATGGCTTGAACCAAACAACCACCAGGCAAGAGATCAGAAATATTTTTCAAGAATCCAAGTACATCAGTGTTGGAAAACACCCATAGACTCCTAATGTGGGGAAAGCACAGATTGCAGATCATAGCTGATTATGCACAACAGGATCCACCCAGTGAAAAGCCATATAAATGTTTGGAGTGCGGCAAAAGCTTTTCTCGGAAAAACATCCTCATGATTCATGGAAGAACCCATACTGGAGAGAAGCTCTACCAATGTTCCCAATGTGGCAAAAGATTTAGCATTCATTCCAATCTGGTGAGACACCAAAGGACTCACACTGGGGAGAAACTTTTTGAATGTCCTGTTTGTGGAAAAAGCTTCAGTCAAAATTCCCACCTGGTAGAACACCAGACGACACACACAGGAGAGAAACCGTATAAATGTCCTGTTTGTGGGAAAAGTTTCAGTCTGAATTCCAACCTGGTGATACACCAGAGGACTCATACAGGAGAAAAACCATATCAGTGCCTGGATTGTGGGAAACGTTTCAGTCAGAGTTCCTACCTGGTGAAACACAAGAGGACTCACACAGGAGAAAAACCCTATGAGTGCCTGGATTGTGGGAAAAGTTTCAGGCAGAATTCCCAGTTGGTGGAACACCACAGGACACACACAGGAGAGAAACCGTACAAATGTGATTGTGGGAAAAGTTTCAGTCTGAATTCCTGCCTGATTATACACCAGAGAACTCACACAGGAATAAAACCATTTCAGTGTCCAGATTGTGGGAAAAGTTTCAGGCAGAATTCCAACCTGATGATTCACCAGAGAACTCACACTGGAGAAAAACCGTATCAGTGTCTGTATTGTGGGAAAAGTTTCACTCAAAATTCCCATCTGGTGAAACACCACAGGACACACACGGGAGAGAAACCATATGAGTGCCTGGCTTGTGGGAAAAGTTTCAGTTGGAATTCCAACCTGGTGGAACACCACAGGACACACACGGGAGAGAAACCATATAAATGTAGTGATTGTGGAAAAAGTTTCAGTCAGAATTCCTGCCTGGTGATACACAAGAGGACTCACACAGGAGAGAAACCATATGACTGTTCAGAATGTGGGAAACGCTTCAGTTGCAAATCTGAACTTGGGAAGCACCAGAAGACTCATACGGGAGAGAAACCATATGAGTGTCTGTATTGTGGGAAAACTTTCAGTAAGAGTTCCAATTTGGTGATACACCAGAGGACTCACACGGGAGAAAAACCATATGAATGTCTGGATTGTGGGAAAGGTTTCAGGCAGAATTCCCATCTGGTAGAACACCAGAGGACTCACACAGGAGAGAAACCTTATGAATGTCCGGATTGCGGGAAAGATTTCAGTACTAAGTCTAGCCTTATAAATCATGTAAGGTTACACACAGGGGAGTAGTCATTCAAACTTCCAGATTGCAAACACTTTCACACAAAGTTCACACTCATAACCTTTTAAGGCAAACTTCCATTGGTTGATTTTTCTGACTGTCTTACAATTTCTCCTTATTTCTAGTTTGAATCTTTCTTTGATCAGTACTGTTGTTTCGTCTCTGGCCTTCGGGTGCTTTGGCAAATAATTTGTCCCCCCCATTTTTGACAGTCTCTCAAATATTGGAGGACTGCTATCATGTCACACCTAGTTCTTGTCTTCCCTAGGCTAGCCATGCTCATTTCATGTAACTGTTCTTCATATGTTTTAGCCTGCTTCTAATTTGATCTAAGCTTCCTTTCTCTTTGCTCTTCCTTTTTGTTTCTCTAATCTCATCTGAGCTTCCCTTCTCTTTTTTCTTCCTTTCTCTTTTCTTTCTCTAATCTCATCTGAGCTTCCTTTCTTTGGCCCAGTGCGCTAGGTCCCTTTCACAGAGTTAAGGGGATCTGCCATTGCTGGGCCAGAGAAAGCGAGTTTGGAGCTCTATTAGCTATGTTTGCCGACTTGAGTTATTTCTACATATAATACAAAGGGATATAAATATGTATGTATGTATATACCACAATAGTTTAGGGTCTCTTGCTTGAGCAGGGGGTTGGACTAGAAGACCTACAAGATCCCTTCCAACTCTGTTGTTCTGTTCTGTTCTGTATTTTGGCTTAGCATGAAAACGTATATGGCAGCCCAACTAAACGTATATGGCAGCCCAACTGCATGGTTTACTGCATTAAAACCTTAATACAAAACCCAATAAACATCATATATTGCAAAACCTCCCTTTTTAACATGTACTTGCCCTGAAAATGCGGCAGACTTCTATCAAGGTTGGTGGCGTTTGGAGGGTCTGGGAATTCCAAAAAGGTGATTCTTGCTTTTGTTCAAATCAGAGGTTAACCAGGCCTCCTGGTATTACTAATTATGCTTGTGCCTGATGCCATTCTTGTTCAAAACTGGTAATCTTTCTCCTTGCAAGGATGTCCCAGAGGTGCTTTTCAAGAGTTAAATTGGAGAAGCTAACCACAGGATTAGCGGCATATAAATTTGATAATTAAAGAAGTCTGTGGAACGTCAGTGCCTCAAGCAACGTGCACATGGGCAGCCTAAGCTGGGCCATTTTTGGGGATTCATCTCTTCTGATTTACTTAAAATGTTTATATAGCCATCCATCCAGAGTTATAACAAACTTAAAATAAGCTTCAAATCAGTAATTAACTTAAAGACTGTATTAAGTCCAAATGCATTTAAACCATACCCAGGTACAAAATCTAGCTTCTGATTGGAAAGGGTTAAATTGGAGAAGTTAACCGTAGGATTAGCGGCCAATAAATTTGATAATTACATTCGTAGAGTGCCTCAAGAAACTTGGCACAAGGACAGCCAAAGCACCCCCATTTTGGGGATTCATCGTTTTCCTCTGATTTGTTTAAAATATGTAGCCATCCATCTTATAACAAACTCTGGCCGGCTCCCAATCAATAATTAACTTTAAAACCAGGAGTGGGATTCAAATTTTGTAACAACCGGTTCTGTGGGTGTGGCTTAGTTGTTGGGTGTGGCTTGGTGGTCATGTTATTGGCTGGGTGTGGCCAACTCAATATAATTCACATCGAGGCACAAGTGTGAAAAATGGTCATAAGTCACTTTTTTCAGTGCCATTGTAACTTTGAATGGTCACTCCACACAAGCAAAGTACCAGCAAAGGAGTGGGGGGAAAACTCCAGAGACGTTCCTGAGACAGGAAGTCTAGTCCTGCCAAGAATGTAATAAGGTTTAACGGAGAGGCAGTTTCTGTAAGCAACACCAGAATGTTTCCTTCCTGCCTGCCTTACAGGATTAGGCCAGTAATTTCTTCTAACAACCGGTTCTCTGAACTGCTTAGAATGTTAACAATCTGTTCTAGAGAATAGGTGTGAACTGGTAGAATCCCACCCCTGTTTAAAACCATATTAAAACCAAATGGATATAAACAAAAACCTTATTTCAATTCAAGCTTGATATGCAGTCCTCTCTTATTAACCCAGTGCTCAGAGGAAAAGCTAGAGCTTCCTTCCTTTATGGAAGACCAGGAGGATAAAGGCCTGCCAAACTTCAGGGGGGAAATTGTCTTATAGGCCAAGGTCTGCAATGCACAAGGCTCACTTCCTAGCTCCTATCAGATGGCAATATTTAAGGTAAGAGGCTAGGAGCGTGCCAACCCTATCTGACCTGGTAGAACAGATAGATGCAAAAACAAAACTGGGAAAATAATGACAGGTGGCCTGTTGGCTCAGTGGTTAGACTGTGGTCTTGCTAGTTGACTCTGCCCACAGCCTGGAAGTCGATTCTGACGGAGCTCGGGGTTGACTCAGAAGGCTCCATCCTTCTGAGATCAGTAAAATGGGGACCCAGATTGTTGGAAATATGGTGACACTGTAAACTGCTTAGAGAGTGCTCTAAAACACTGGAGTGGTATATAACTCTAAGTGCTATTGGTATTTCTATAATAAAGAAATAGCTTTAAATGTGATGAGCAGCATTTTCAGTTGTACCTTAAAGAAAATCCAGCGCAGTTCACGTTTCAAAGATGCCACACAGGCAATCTAGGGACTCCCATTACTGGGTGGGCTGTTGCATTCTGGACCAGTTGAAGTTTCTGGGGAACCCTGGGTAGTAATCCAAACGGAGGTGACCAAGGCACGAGTGAGCCACTGTGCAAGGACTCCAGGTCCGGGGAAGGGAACGATTGGTGCACCCAATGAATCTGTGCAAAGCCCCTCCCCAGCCATGGCTGCCTCAAGCAGGAAGCGTGAATGCAGGAGGACACCCCCACACACACACCAGTTGGTACACAAGCTCAATTCACACATGACCTCAGGACACTGCAACTGTCATAAAGGGGAGTCAATTGCCAAGCATCCCTGTTTTGATCACGTGACCATGGGGATGCTGCAATGGTGGTAAGTGTGAAAAATGGCCCCAAGTCAGCAATTGCCAAACTTTCCATTGCTAAGCAGAGCTGGGGCACCAATAGGAAATAGGGTAATTTTAGCTTAAACATGGAAGTAAAAGAAAATAAAATCCCAGCAGAGACACGGGATCAAGCTTCATTCTTACAGTTTCGATAAGGTTGCAGAGACAAGTTTTGAGGAGTTATCCTGCACTCATCTACTCATAGCAGAATACTTTATGCCACCAGACTTGAAATTTTAGACCTAGACAACCTAGAACTATGCCGCCTTCGGTCCGAACTAAGTATAGTACATAAAATTATCTACTGCAATGTCCTACCTGTCAATGACTACTTCAGCTTCAACCATAACAACACAAGAGCAAACAATAGATACAAACTCAAGGTAAACCGCACCAAACTTGATTGCAGGAAATACGACTTCAGCAACAGAGTGGTCAATGTCTGGAATACTCTACCCGACTCTGTAGTCTCTTCCCCAAACCCCAAAAACTTTAACCTTAGACTGTCTACTATTGACCTCACCCCTTTCCTAAGAGGTCTGTACATAAGCGCACCAACGTGCCTACCGTCCCTGTCCTATTGTTTCTTTTTTTATTCGTATCAATTTCATGTATTCATAACTATGATTACCTGTTATCTAATACTTGCTTGACAAACAAAAAAACAAATAAATAATAATAAACACCCCAAAAGGGAAAACTGGAACCAAGGGAGGTGCACTTTCTCCCTTCTAACTTGCAGATCATTTCTAGTCCTTATCCCCTCCCAAAAGGTGCTTTCCTTTGGTTTAGTTTTCTGCCAAAGGAAGCTTCGGGCTCAGCTCCAGGGACAAGGAATGCCCTCTTTGGAGGACCTAAAAGAAAAGCTCCGGGAGAAAAGCTACCGATGAGCTCAATGGGAGTCAAATAGGACTTGATGGCACTTAAGGAAGATCGGAAACAGTGAGAACATGTTCAAACGCCTTACGGTAGAACGATCGTGTTCTTCAGCCTTCCGTCGCTAGATGGCGCTCTACAGTGAATCAACATTCGCGCCCACAAAGCGGCGGCAGAGCTGTTCTAGGGAAAGGGCAGAGGCTGAGATTGAACGGGTTGAAACGATAGAGTAGTGGATTGCTAGAAAGGATTTTGCAGGCGGGCGGAGGAACTTCTTGTTCCCACGGGAGGTTGATGGCGTCGGCAGAGCCTCTTGTGCTGCTTGGAGGGTCGAAGCGGCTCCTGGGAGGTGAGTGGAGGGCAGGTTGGAGGAGACGCCGGGAGCAAATCGGGCCCTTTGGGTTCCTCCACGGCCTGGAAGCAGCGAAGGGACACGAATGAAACATGCGGGCTGCTGCTGCAGCAAAGTCTTTCTCTCCCCAGATATTTCTGTCCTTTAGTTGCACGATTTAAAACTGCAGCCGGAGATTTTCTCCTTGCAGATTTGGGAGATTAAAAAAAAAATATTTATTTTGTTTCTGAACCAACAACCTCCCTCACCCTTCACGTAGCACTTGATTCCTTGTGATTTTATTGACATGTTTTCCTGCCAAGTGAGGAGTTTTATGGGCAAAACGGATCTTTTAAATTTTGCATAGGATTTGGTCACCAAGTCATCTCTTAGTGTCCCCACCTTTCTTAAATTAGATCAAAAATATGAGCAAATGCACTTCTGGGACATTTTGCACATGAAGATACACATAGATTGTCATCTTGTTGTGCCATATCCATCATCAGATGTTGGCAATCATGTCAACAGCCGCATGAAAAAGTGCTGTTGAGTTTTGTCCAAACCAGTCCCTTAGATTTTAAAGCCACAATGTTCTTCTGCCTTCAACCTTTTCCCTGAGGATTAAGTGAAATATGCCCTTTCCCTAGTGGCTTATCACCTCCTCGTTTCTGATTTTGTCAACCCAGCTTATAAGTTTCAGCCATCTGGAAATCCACATTTCAAATGCTTCTAGTCTCTTCCAGTGGCTTTCTGTCAAGAGACCAACTCTCTACTCCGTAGAGCAGGATAGAAAAGATGTAACATCTCACAAGCCTGATTTTCAATCTTAGGCTTATGTCGTGATTGCAGAATACCTTTTTCATTTTGAAGAATGCTGTTCGAGCTCTCTCTATCCTTGTCTACGTACATAAAATTGTAGGTGTATTTCTGTGTGCCTGTGCATGCGTACGTAAGGGATTAGCCAAGCCAAAAATTTACCCTGTAATGGTATATCCTGCTCCTGCTTCAGTAGGGGGCTGGACTAGAGGATCCTTCCAACTCTTTTCTGTTTGACTGATTGATTAATTGATTGGATTGATTGAAAAAGAGAATCTTATGATCAAGTCAATATTTGAACTTAGATCTTGCTCGTCTTCTATATGCCAAATGAATCATATTATTAGATGTCAAACTAGAATTTTGGTGTTTGTTTTTTCATGCTAACATATATGGGCCTTTTTGCTGCTTTCACAGGTCCTGCAGCCACTTTTTAAACAATCATGAAACTAACCCATTAATGTGAATCTTACAAACAAAAGAGGATGCCAAGAAGCACATGCTGGAGAACAGAGAATGAGAAGCAGTATTAAAATCCAAAATGAACCCATCAGTCAAAATCTTTTTTCAATTCCACTTGAAAGTGTAAAAAGTCTTCTTCCTCAGAAAATGAGAGATAAGGGACAGAATAACAAGAACAAAGTTTTGAATTGGGAAAAATAGACTATATGGAACTCAAGAAGACATTACATGAGTAGTCTAAGAGGAAAATGTCCAAATAAAAAGTGGGAAACACCTGAAAGTCAGTGGGAAGAAAAAGGTGCAGATGGCCAAAATAGGCATGTATTAATGAAAGCCTTTGACGAAGGAAAGAGTGGCTTAAATCAAAGAAGCTCCAAGTAAGTGATCAGAAATATTTTTGGTCTTCTCAAGAATCCAAGAATATCAGTGTTGGAAAACTCCCAGAGCCTGCCTATTGTGAGAAAAACACAATTGCAGATCACAACTGATTATACACAATAGGATGCACTCAGTGAAAAGCCACACAAATGTTTGGAGTGCAATAAAAACTTTACTCAGAAAGCCTTCCTCATAATTCATGGATGGACCCATACAGATCAGAAACTCTACCAATGCTTCGAATGCGACAAAAGATTAAGCATGAACACCAATGTAGTGAGACACAAGAGGACTCACACTGGGGAAAAACTCTTTGAATGTCCTGATTGTGGGAAAAGTTTCTCTCGGAATTCTGACCTGGTGATACATAAGAGGACTCACATGGGAGAGAGACTATATGTGTGTCCGGATTGTGGAAAAAGTTTCAAGAAGAATTCAAAACTCATGATACATCGGAGGATTCACACAGGAGAAAAACCATATGAGTGCCCAGATTGTGGGAAAGGTTTCAATTGGAATTCCGAGTTGGAAGTACACCAGAGGACTCACACTGGAGAGAAACCATATGAGTGTCCTGATTGTGGGAAAGATTTCTCTCGGAATTCTGACCTGGTGAGACATCAGAGGACTCACATCGGAGAGAAGCCATATGAGTGTCATGATTGTGGGAAAAGTTTCAGTCATAATTCGTACCTGGTGAAACACCAGAGGACTCACATGGGAGAGAAACTGTTTGAGTGTTCAAATTGCAGGAGAGGATTCAATTGGAATTCTGAACTGGTGATACACCAGAGGATTCACACAGGAGAAAAGCCATATGAGTGTCCGGATTGCGGGAAAGGTTTCAGGCAGATCTCCCATCTGGTGGAACACCAGAGGACTCACACAGGACAGAAACCATATGAGTGTCTATATTGTGACAAGCGTTTCACTCGGAATTCTGACAGGGTGATACACCAGAGGACCCACACAG